TGCCGAACCATCCTGTCCACCAAGGGCGCTGCTGAGGCTGTCTGCCTGGAAGGGTCACCAATGGGCGCGGAAAGTCCTCACTCTCATGGCTCGGGCCATCGCTGCCGCGGGGAGGGATCCTGGCGGCCCGGTTTGGGGAGAGGCAAAGGGAGTTGGGTGAGGAGAGAAGAAGACAAAGAAGACACTCGATGCTACAGGGCGCCAGGAGAGCCCAAGCTGGCGCCCTTACTACCACCTGCCCATTCCCAAGCGAGTCCACAGTCACTTGGCCCAGCCCAGTGCGTGCACACACACACATGCGTGCACACACAATCACATGCGTGCATCCCAATGTCTGGCTCCACATGGTGAGGTTCGGCGTGTGTTTAAACGAGACCAACTCTCTATGTATATAATATATATTTTCTTAAAAAAAAAAAAAAAAAACAAGTCTAGTTCTGTGGTGGAGGCGGTGGGGGAGCTGGAGGCATCCCGAAGGGCGGCATGCCCGCCACCCCCATGCCCATCATGGTGACAAAGTTAGAAGGGTCCATGGGAGGCGGAGGAGGAGGGGGTGGGGCATACATCATGCCGGCGGAACCAGGTGGCGGAGGCGGCGGAGGGGGAGGGGCCCCGGGCGGCAGAGGCGGCTGGACCCCGGGGGGCAGGGGCACCATAGTGGGGTTGCCTTGCATCTGAGGGGCTCCTGGAGAAGCTGCGGCAGCCGCCTGCTGCTGTTGCCATGGCGGGATGGACCCTGTGCCAGCGCTCGTGGTGGTAGTCGTCGTATCTGGGGTAGTAAAGAAGCCCAAGGTCACACGCGCTGGGGGTACACCGCGGCTCTCTGCGGCTGCTGCCTTGGGATGGGGGTCGAGGGGCGCCTGCTCCTTTCTTGGCATGCGGTACGGTGGTGGGGGGCGGGCGGGCAGGGCTGTCCTGGTGATGGGAGTGGAGGGGTGGGCAGGACTACCCTGGGGTCAGCCTCATGGTCTCTGGGCTTCACAAAGTAAGCCCTTTGTCACCAATGCCCCTGGAGGGGCTAAGGGGAAAGTACCAGACACAAGAACCGGCTTTGACGTCCCTCCGCCCAGCCGCCGCCACCACCGAACGGCACATTCAGCCTCAAACCCACAGCTGCTCTCTCCCCACTGACCCCTTCCCTTCCTTATCTCTGCAGTCTCTCAGGCCCAATCACAAGCCCCTCCAGAACATGCATGCACCATCCCACTCTTGATTCCGTGCACAAGGCACGGCCAAACCAGCAGCTCATTCAGCAGCTTAGCCTGGACTTTTGGTGCTCTGTCTACAATGGGAGGCTCCCCTCCAGACCTCCCAAGTCTCTCCCAAACACAACCACACCAATCATCAGCTCTCCTCCCCAAGATACTCCTTTGGGCCAGACAGCCTGGCTTTCAACCCCACTGCCCTTGCTGAGACCAAAGTCTCCTCACCCAAGGTGTCTCCAGCCCATGTGAGATATGAGGTTCTCTTTCATCTCAGCCCCAGCCCACATCCCACCCACCCCCACAAGCCCAAAATATTCCACTCACTTTGCTGCCATGGCAAGGGGGTGCTGGAAGCCATACTGCTGCTGGGCGGAGGGGGTGGCGGAGGCTGCTGCTGCTGCTGCTGCCATGGAGGAAGAGGACCAGAGGGAGGAGGCGGGGGCTGCC